GAGTTCGACTTCATGTCGCAGAACCGGCAGTTTGCAGAGGAGACCAAGCCCATGTTAAATAAATGCTTGTTAAGCCTGCAATGTCCGGTGTAGAACGCGATCAGAATCCGAAATTTGTTCCTCGGGAGATTGGTTACGGTTTAAACCGTCTGAGGTTGTACCCCCATTAGTAACTTGGCATGGCGCATGTCTTGGAGATGTTGCCAGTGTCTCTCCTGCCTGCTCTTTCCTCTTTACGGCAGCCTCCCTAATGGTTGTGGACCAACCGCTACGCAGTGGTCTTGTCCTACCATGTTTATAGAGACTGCAGAGCAGGCCAACTCGTCAGCAAGTTCATTTCCTGCTATCCCTGTGACCAGGCACCCAGATGAGGTGCACTCTGTTGAGACTTGATAGGCTGTTCAGCCATTCTATACACTCCTGCACTAGTAGCGATTTGACCTCAAAGCCGAGATCGCTTTAAGTGGTGTCTGACTATCGCTGAGTATGGTGATGCTCTATTGCGGTAGTCGCGTTGAGGTTTATTTCTACACACCGATTATAGCATATACTCCGCCTGGAATATGCTGGAAAACTTCCCATGGGGATGGAGAGCTTGGTGCGTGGTCCTGCGACCCTGCGCCATCTCCCTCGCCGTTTTCGAGCCGTCGGTGTACCACTTGATAGTACTGTTCCTTAGTAGTATGTCCAGCGTGGAATCGTTCCATTCTGCCTTACTGCTAAGGGTACCCTGAACTTTCTAGTGAAGCTTACTGTTTTGGTAATGCTGTCTCTTGGAGAAGGGCCAGTGGCATGCGTACTAGAGCCTTCATGCTGGGACGAGATTACCTTTCCTTGCCAAACCCTTCTGCTGACATTTGAAGCAAGGTCTGTTTGGTCGTTTGCTCGATCACTATATGTAGCGGTGTTAGCTCCAGCATTACTTCCAGTGCTGCGGTCGGACACGTACGCATCGCGCCTGACGCGCAGATGCAGGCAAGTCGTTGCAGCCTCGGTAGTCGAAGTCTACGAGGTCTGCGATGCTTTAGAACCCAGGCCACCGCTCCATACGTTATGATCGGTCTCACAATCATGGTGTACAACCATCTGATAATCCTTGGGTTGCAGCCCCATGATTTCCCAGCAAGTCGATTGCACCCATGAGCGCTTTCGTAGCTGGCTACTGTTAGGCCCACATGCTGCTTCCACCGTAGAGTGGAGTCCAGCGTAAGGCCAGGTACTTTACCGTGCTGGCCATCTCCACCTCCGTTCCACCTAGGGATAGGTTTCTGAGGCTGCAGCAACCTGCGTCTGGTAAACGGTATGATTGTAGTTTGGAGGGTTGATGTTTAGGCCAACCCACTATACCATTCCTTTGCCAGCCTTAATCCCCTTTGTACAATATCGCAGAGAGTGTCAGCGAATTTACCCTAGCTAATATAACAATATCGTTCGCATATCCCTGATAGCGTTCTGTTGCTGGTTAGCAGCTCGAGAAGATCGTTCACAACTAGGCTCAAAGTAGGGGATAGCACTCCACCCTGTGGACGCCTCTTGTGTGCCAAGACGAATCTTGGTGTCACCTACTTTCGGCAATCCTGGTGCACAGTACTGCTTCAATCCATCTGCGCACCGGCATCGCCACACCCTTTTCTAGTGCCTTTGACACGCTCTCGTGTGGACGTATTTTGACGTAGTGTCAAAGGCACCTTCGATGTCAAGGAAGGCGCATAACAGCACCTCACTCCCGTCCAACGAACTTCGGATCTCTGAGGTCAGCTGATACAGAGCAGTATTGGTTGACCTGCCTGCTCTGTAAGCATGCTGCGTCGCTTGTAGCGGTGCAGCTTTCAGCACCTTCGATCTTATTTTGTGATCTATGATCTTTTCCATGCTTTTCAGTAGGAAGGAAATTAGACTTATTGGTCTAAAGGATTTCGCCAACGAATAGTCTTTCCTTCCTACCTTGGGTATGAAGATCCCCTTTGCAGTGTGCCAAGGTTCTGGGATATACGCCAGCGCCAGGCTATCCCTCATCAGCCGAACAAGGTGGGGCAGTATTACCTGTCCAGTCCCATCCAGTCTTTTAATAACTGTGTCGGTCTTGCCCCTAGCCAGAGCCCTATGCAGCCTTGCAGCCTCTGGCGTTCTGCTTTGCTGACCTAATCTCCTTGTTGTAAGCAGTTAGGCCGCACCTATAGTTCTCCCAGTCCCCGGTACGCTTAGCCCTGTTAAATAGCTTGCGAACCGTTTTCCTTAGGTCTGAGAGCCTCCTTGACCACCAGGGACAACTGCGGTTCTTGGTGGTCATCTTCAGGGGGCAGCTACTGTTGTATGCTTCCATAATGGAGTGATTTAGCGCAGACAATCTGCTCTCCAGTCCGAAAGCAGTGTCACTGCTGTCCAGCTGCCCCCTTATATTGAGATTTATTTCAAGCGTATCCCTAAAGGTGGCCCAGTCCGTGTTTTTGGTAATACGCCTGGGAGGGAGTTGCTTAACCTCTACCCCTAGTGCGAATTTTATGATGCGGTGATCCGACATGGAGGGTTCCGATGACACTCTCCATTGCCCGATCAGCCCTGTCATGAGTTCGCACCCCACGTTTACAATGCTTAAATTTCTACTTACTATAAATTTAAGTAAGGACTCACCCCGTGTACTGCAGTCTGTGCTGCCCCATTCAGTATGATGGGCGTTGGCGTCACATCCCATGACGAGGGGCAGGTTGTTCCTCCTGCAGTAATCCTCGAGGTTCCCGACGGCCTCTGGGGGTGCTGTCAGCGTGTCTCCAGGAAAGTAGGCCGCTGCCAACACGAAGTCCGCTCCTTCGTTACTTTTTGCCTGCACAGCGACCAGGTCTTGTGTTAGGAACTCTGAAATACAAAAGTAATCAATATCGTTCCTAATTACTATACAGGTTCTGGGTCTCTCACTTGAGAGATCCCAGATTACCTTGCTATTCACCATTTTGAGGCCTCTGACCTCTCCTTTGTAGATCCATGGCTCCTGGATCAGTGGAATGCCCAGACCATCCGCTGTGAACCTGCTCGCGATGACGGCCGAGGCCGACGCCTCTTTGGGGCGGAGTGGTTGCCTCCGGTCCCCTGTGTGCTTTTCTGCCGCTTGGTGTTTGGTGGTTCCTGTGGCGTTAGCTGCCCACTCTTGCGTTTTGCGGCTTGGGTGGTCGAAGGCGCTGCCCTTAACCGGGCGTTGGCTTCGATTTCCACTGCTGTTTTTGCTGCTAGCTGCGGTATTGCCACCCTTCCGCTTCTCCGAGGCAGGGGAGGCATTGTCTCCTCTCACCCTGTTACGCGCCAACTTTTCGGCTTCCTCCGGAGTCTTCCCCTCCTGGAGGTGCCTGAGGTACCATTTGAGGCTGGCCCCGCTCATGCCTCTCCTCCTGGGATCGTCCTGTCCGCCTGGACTCCCATTTGGTAGTAGAGGGGGTAGTCTGCCTCCCCTCTTCCGCTTCCGTTTGCGAACCCCCCCGGTAGATGCCCGTTCCGAGTCGCTCGAGTCCGAGCAAGTGGTCCTGCACGGGGGAGCCTCTTTGGGGTTCGCTTTTTCAGCGCCAGCCGCAGTCAATTTCACCTGCTGAGCGCCGCTGCACGAGGGCATGTCGTCGTCGTCATCCCTTGCATGCTCCTCGAACAGCGCCCGCTCTTCTGGCGAAAGGGCGTCCAGGAAGCTAAACTTCTGTTTAGCCCCTGAAAGTCCCTTACCTGCACCGGCGCTGGTTTTGTTGGCCTTGTCCTTGTCCGTTTGCTAATGTTGTTGCCTTTTTGTGTCCATTGTTGTGTTGTTGTTTGTTTTTTGTTTTTTGTTACCCATCTTTTCCTTACGACCTTAGGCTCGACATGGCAAGTAGTCCGGTCAACGTTTTGTGAGGGGAACGCGAAAGTCCACCGCGCCAGAGCCCCATGACGCGGTAAGGCCACCATTACTTCCCAATGCGGCCCGGTGTTGGGAAGGCTCCGTTAGAATACAGCCGAATTTACCTCCTGGCTACAAATCATCCAATGGGCACGGGAGTCGCATAACACCCTGGATTAGGAGGTGGCAGCTCTTGGTTGTCGCACGCATGCGGCTTCGGACAACCCGCGTGAGAGGTGCTAGGCAGCACTTCTCACATTGGTTGGGAGATGCCGAGAATGCCTTGCGACCTAAGCCCCTGCACCACGTCAAGGTGCCTGCCATTCGCAGGAGATATATTTAATAACAGTTGATAGTTTAAAACAATGAATCGACCTATTTACTAAGTTTTTTGAAGTTAAATGTTTTAATATGGCAACAACGAAATTGTGTACATCAGCTGTTTGATATGTCACTGCCGTCTTAAAAATGTTCGAGAAGCTGGCTTCGAGACGACATTTGCCGACCAAGAAATTTCATCAAGAAATATGTAGTTAAAAAACGTTTCGATACAGTACTTTATTCCTCAATAATCCACTTGCTTTTGTTTAAAAATACAAATTTGTTGACGTTTTTAGCCTTTAGAGCTGTTCTTCTATCTGATATTAGCAATCCAGGCTGGTTAAACATTCTCTCCGACTCTGTTAAATTAAAATTAATTAAAGTGATATTCGTTTATTCGCGCTGTAGGCAAACTAACGCCTTTGGGCGTTGTATGAGTATATATGTGTATATATTGTGAAATTCGATCATAACAGAATTTTACATAATATGCTTCAGTTTCTTAATTTTATTCTCCAAAGTCTGGAGTTCTAGATAAAATGGAGGTTTCTTTACAATTATTTTTTAGAAAAATTAAAATTCTTTCGTGATGAATCTGAGTGTCAGAACTTCAACAGCTTCCGAGCTAGGTAGACAAATACTACAAAAAAAGAGAAACTAAAAATATCATAGAAGTCGGAATTCGCAATGGCAAATATGCTTACACGCCGGCAAATGATCAATACTTTAGCAGCAGCGGGTATTGATTTGTATAAGGAGGCCGCGTTTGTGCAGCTGCCTGCTCTGTACGATGAGGTGATTGCTAATCCACCGAGGGTCCCAGTTGAGAACGTAATAGGTGAGAGCGTACCAGATGGGGATGCCCTAGATTAAAACGTGTCAGACGGCAAAGCGGAAAATGTTCCAGGAAAAAATGCGCTGGATATACCAGAGGTCAGCGCTAGCGTGGGAATCGGTGTGAATTCGTGAGCTTCATTGGCCATCTCCAGCCGCCAAGGTTTGCTGGATTCACCTCTGGCGTTGTTGTCGGTTCTTCCCCATGTTGTGGTATGCGCATTTGCATCGCAGCCAATTACTAGGGAAAGACATGCCTTTTGGCATTGTTTTATCAGCTGTTTAACTTCTGGAGGTGGTATTGTGTTTATGTCCCCAGGAAAGTAAACGGATACTACCACGATTTCGGTCTTCTTTTCTTCCTTCCTTCCTTCTTAGTGGTCAGTTATTTGAAATACATATATATTCTCTATCTTTATTTAATATGATGCAAGTTCTACAGTGTTCACAGGTGAGATCCCATATGACTGTTGTGGATTGGTCTTTTACCCCTCTTACCTGATCTTTGTAGGTCCATGGCTCCTGCGCCAGAATTATGCCCAGATCATCCCAGGCTGTTTTGTTTGTTATTACCGCCGAAGCAGCAATAGCATGGTGTAGGTTGATCTGGGCTGTCTTGATGATCGATGATTTTCCTTCACCTGTTTGCTCCTCGATGTCCGAGAGTATCAAGTTTTCGTCTGAGTCTTCATTAGGTTTAGACTGGTTGCTAAATTTCAAGCTCCTTCGTCGAGGGGTTTACTTCGTTCCTTTTTCTACCAGCTGTACGGTCCCCTTCGCTACCGTTGCTTATTGGACTGCGTTCGCTACTTCGCACTTTTCCGTCGGTTTTCGTGGTTAGCTGTGTGTTTGACCAGCTACCTAGGGTAGGTATCACCTTTGCTAGCCATTCAGCTGTCGTCCTTGCAGGCAGCGATAAGTAGCTCAGGCCTTAATGTTACTCCTGTGAACACCAATAAGCTTTTCCAGCTCCTCATACATAATAGCCTCTTAGATCTCGGTCAGCTGTTCCGGAGACAGAAACTCTTTTAAGAAGTCCTTCGGTATTACGGCCACCCTGACAACTTTTATCGCCTCAGCATAGCTATTTCCCTGGCCTGGCCTAATGGTCTGTTGATTCGAAACAGCTAACCTTTCAAGTTGTCTGGTCGGGAATAAAGGTCGTGGTCTTTTCGACGGCTGATCCTCTCATGGCGTTCACTGAGCGCTCGTGCGTTTGCTGTTTGTTGCTGGTACTTGCTCTGCTTTTCCTGCTTGGATTCGGGCGGTCTCTGGTATCCTTAGGTATCTAACGATTCCTGCTCCACTCAGTTCTTGTCTTCTTGGATCGTCTCTTGTACCAGGCGTCCCAGTTCGGGAACTTTTGGTCCTTTCCCTTGAAGGCGAGTTTCGTTAGCCTCTATGCGCTCCGCTGGTTTTTCTTTCCTTTGCCGGTGAGGAGTGTGTGCCCTCACGCCGTTCAGATCGTGCGTCCCTTTCCTCAGGTGATGTACGTCGGTGTTTCCGGTGAGATACTTCTGTCCATCGTTCCTTCTGTTAGCGATGTCTTTGGGGCGAGTCCTCTCTTTGAGGAGGTCTAAGGCATTCGACCCTAGGGCGTTCTTGTTCGGTGTTGTTCCCGTTGGTTCTTAGTTGAGATCTGGGGCTTTTAACACTGATGAGTAATCGCTCCGTCGACGATCGGTTGCTGCCTGGGAAGTCGTATTTGACACTTCTTCCTTCGCCACGTCTGGTTAGACCACTACCACAGTCGCTTGATCTGCTTTGCGTTCAGTGCTCCTTCGGCGTTGTTTTTCGTGTACCTCGTCTCTTCGGTTTGCAATTGTAGTGGATGAGGCGTTCTCTGTGTCCGCAGTACATTCCAATCAGATCAAAAGTTAACATGCTAAGTTTGCACTTCGTCTATCAACTTAATTTCTCTGGATGATCCTGATAAGTTAGCAGTTAAGCCTCCATACCAACGACAAGGTGACTACCAGTGAGGAGGTGGTACTATCGATAGTCCCATCGATTGTTTTGCAACTCTAGCTTTCTGGAATGTATTGTAACGGATTTCTCGATAAATCGTCTACCTGTAACTCACTCTTGAGTTCGATCACTGGATTGTTAAATTAAAGTCCCAATTTAATGGCTATACACTTATCTTTATTTCCAATTCCACCAACTTAGCACTTATTGCTCGATATTCAAGTTTACAACTTATTGCTTATAGCTTAATTGCTTTTTACACGGCAACACTCTAATTAGAACTGTGTGTGCTGCACAGTCCGGCAGCCCTTATATAGTAAATTTTTAACAAAAGTTCGCTACTAGAACATTCTGGCAACTACGAATTCGCTGTCTAGTTGCTTCTGGCAGTTTATCGTCGATTCTGATTCGTTCTGGTATTCGTGTTCGCCACATACGAAGAGCGATAGAATATAAGATTACGACAATAATTTACTTTACAGCTTAGGTAACAACAGGTGTGACGTAATATAAGAAGAAGAAGCATAGAACAGCATGTAAATTGTAAATAAACATGTAAACACTTCTCTTAATTTCTGAAATAGACTTAATATATTAGTTTATAGTGAAAAAATCTTACTGAAATGAATAGAATAAAAGAATCGACCCGCCCCGCCGAAGGCCGCCAACGCAAAAAGGAGTTCTATCAGAAAAAACTGAGGACACCCGGTGATGGACCGACCAGGAATTCTACGCAAAAAACTAATAATATGTTCTTTATTTCCTGTCATTGGGGTATTTTCTGTTTTCTTGATTTCTTTTGGTTCCTTTATAAAATATGTAAATAAAGTAACACTAATTATTTGTTAGAATGCAACCCTTTTGTTATTGTGTGAATAAAAAAAATGGAACATAAGTTAAATATTGAATTAAAGTTATTTTTGCTCTATTTAATATCAAAGAAATGTATAGAAACGAACTAGTAAAGTGTGAGTGGATATAAAAGTTAAAAATATAAATGAAAAATCATTATAAATCAAAGAAATACGCACTTTAAATAGTTGAATTTCTTAACTTTAAATGCAAATATCTCAAAACCCATAAGTCAGCGGCAACTATTTTCTTAACCTCCTCTATTCGTACATACTCATTTTCATACCGAACTCGGGAGCAGCAATTTCATGTTTCCTAACTATCAATTGTAAATAACACTACAAAACTTAATAAACTCCATTTATGATTTATGATAATCATGACCGTTTTTGTCTAGTCATAATTTAGCCATATCTGTTTCGCTATCCTGCATTTGGTAGTAAAATTCCATCTAGTTAGCACTATTTGTTCAATTAACGTATTAAACTCCCTCTTAATCTTCTTCTAATGGTCTCTGCCACGAATTTGTCTAGAGAGATTCCTGACTTAGCCAACTCGTCTGCTTTTTCGTTGCCGAAAAACTTCCGGGGACCGGGAACTCAAATTAAGGACAAGCCGAGTTGACCAGCTGATGAGCTTAAAACCTTCCACTTTGTTTATTGTATTATTCTGGAGTTGATCTTTGGCGACCACAAGGCTAGTAGTGCCGCCTGGCTATCTGTGTAAATGGCCGCTTTCTGAACATCAAGAGGTATTTCCTTGATTACGTCGACGACATTAGACAGTACGCCGATAGGACTTCGGACGACAACCAATCTGGAATTTATCACCCAAACGGGGATTAGGTAACCGTTACAACAACTACACAAGTCTTCTCTATGCCTACTGCTTCCGCTTGGAAGATGCTAGCTGAGTTTGGTCGAAATGATAGTGAGATATCAAGATCCTTGGGGTATATCCTCGTCCCTACACGGCAGTTCATTTTGGACCTCTTGGTATACATAGATTGAGGTAGTATTCTCCTCCCCTACTAAACCTCTTCTCTATTGACGTCTAAAGGGTATTCTCAGCTGGAAGTTACTATTGAAGTTCAAACTTGGGATGATATAGTCTGATTTAATTAGTTTAGTATCGTGCTGGTTCAGAATTTCGCTATGTCCATAACTATTTCTGTTCAAACCACCAATCTCCTTAATCCTTATAGCAGAAAGTGTTGCCACATATGTAAGGATTGGTCTAATGACGGCCGTATGCCACCACATAACTATATTCGGGTTTAGATCCAGTTTCTCAATATTCATTCAATTCCAGTTCAGTTATCTTTTTGCAGTGGGAGCAAAGAAATGGTAGTACCACCGAGTGAGGTGAGCTAAAATTGAGGTAGATTGGTTTTATTTGTGAATAGCATCAGTTCCATCTTACTAGGATTAAGACCTAGTCCGTTATTCGTGGCCCATATGTGTAACCTCCGTAAGGTTCTTTCTATAATTTCAGGGATTGTGGAAGAAAACAGTCCTGATATTATATCGTCTGCAGAAGTTACTGCCTTCACTCCTTCTCCGTTGAGTTGGAGTAGTATCCCGTTCAGTACCACTACCCATAGAAGCGGCGAACGGACACCTCCTTGAGGAGTCCCTCTGCTTACATAACTTGTTCGTGTCACTGAACCGCGTGATTCTATAATAATTCTGTTCATAAGCATCGATTGAATCCAACTGCACACCATGTCGTCTATGCCGCTCTGCGTCAGAGACTCAGTGATCGCTCTTATTTCTATATTGTTAAAAGCTTCTTCTATGTCCATAAAGGCAGCCATTTAAAATTGCTTGAGGTATAATGACTTTTCTATTTCATTTACTTCCTCGTGTAAGGCAGTTTCTGTTGATTGATCCTTGGTGTTTGTAGGTGAAGCCTATGGGTCTAGGCTTTAGTCTTTTGGTAGGAACATCATCTTGACTCTTTTCCAGCTTTTTGGGATATATGATAGCTGGATACTGGCCTTTCAGGGCTTGTAACCATAGATTCCTTTAGCTTCTGTAGCATTATAGGAGTATTCCCATCTGGACCCGCCGCTTTAAATGGTAAGAAGTTATTAATAGCATATTCTATTTTCTTCTTGTTGACTATGAAACCGGACTGATATACTCTAGTTGCAGCTTGTTCTTGTTGAAAACCTATTTCCGAGGGTTACTGACTACCAGGGAAGTGCGAGATCAATAGAACTCTCCAGCAGAGGAGGTCCAGCACTTGCCTCTGTCTTTAAACAGAAGTATATTATCAAAAGTTACCTTGGCTGGTCTGCTCTATTGTTTCATGTACAGCAAAACGAACCATCAGGAACAGGGATATAGGGCATTCCAATCCTTTTTATATTGCTTACCACATTCATTTCAATAAATTACAATTCGTTCAAATGGCGCACCCGAATTGTACTGTATCATCTGGCCATGACACCTGGACCTTGGCACTTTAGCTGTAATGCACTCAGCACAATTTGATTGACGATAACCAAACCCATAATATCTGTTTTAATTTTTCCAAGATTTCCGTGATTTCCATTTACTCTTCATCGAACCGTTGTGGAGATCGGTGAGAACTTCAGAAATTCTTACTTTCGGAACAATGGTAAGAGCTTGAGAGCTTTGTACATATTCTTCCATACTCGATGCAAACAGCCAACTTTACACTTTAACTATTCCGCTGTGCCCAATATACCTTTGTGACTGGACTTCCTGCAGCTATTTCTCCTGTTTCTGTTGCTGCAGAAAATAACGCCTCTGAAACAATTTGGAGAAATGTTGACCGTGGATCTTCCTACAGACATTTGCCTATTTCCTTTGGATGTTGTTGTTGTTGTAGCGACAGAATTCTGCCGAGTTGACAGTCCTTGGCCGGAATAAATCTGGGTCCGTTCCGGTTACGTAGATCTGACCGTCGTGGGAACGGATTTTCTTTGGATCGTAGTCTTCTGTTGATGTAGTTGTCATTAAATGGACATAGACAACGTTTTTTTAAAGCTCAACCTTGCGATTGCTCCCAGACGAATTATTGGTTAAATTCGGTTTACAGTTACCACGTCATCATTTTTCTTTCGCGCTTCGGTAGATTTCCCCAATAGCTTATTAATCTTTTGAACTAATTGGGTTTTCCATGTGTGTTCTTCTATTTCTACGAGATGCTTATATGTCCGCAAAAATCCCAGACGAAACTGCTTGGAGAGAAGTGCGTTGTGTTCTTTAACCTCGCTTTGTAGGTCTTCCACGGAAGACATCAGAATACATCCTGCTATCGTACGGAGTGCAACGTTCTAACACGTCTGAAAGTTCTTCGGCTGCGTTTCACTACATCAAGACGAACATATCGTTTACCAATAACGTTCTTTGTCTTTTCCTCAGGTGTTGCCTGCTAGCGACTTGAGTCTGCTAGACTCAGGTGGTGAGTGAATGTTGGCAGTAACAGAGCTTGAACTGTCTGCGAGGGTTTCCCAGATTTCAGTAGGGGAACCACTCTTCAAACTTTCCACACATCGTGTATATGAATAGTGGTCAACGACAGGCTGGGGACCTTAGAAAGGGTTACTCCTGTTGAGCCTAGATGTTTAAGTGTCAACGTGTCCTGTCTGAGCCAATAGATACCGAAGATTTCGCCTTGCTGATGACACTGTGAACTTGGATTTGGCTCTGCATCCGTATAAGATTGTGTTGGCACAAGAACTGAATCATACTAACAATTTGAAGCGCGTAGCTTTGCCGATTAGGCGCTGGAAATGATGAAAGCCAACGACGACTTTAATCGAAAAATCATCTACTCAGACGAGACCCATTTCTGGTTTAATGGCTTCGTCAACAAACAAAATTGTCGCTATTGGGGTAAGTCAAATACTCGTGGGGTTTAAAAAACGCAATTGCATCCCCAAAACTTTACCGTTTGGTGCGAATTATGGTATGGTAGCATCATCGCGCCTTATTTCTTTCGAAATGAGGCTGGGAATTCCGTTAACATCAATAGCGAGCGTTATAACACGATGTTGGCCGCCTTTTTTCGGGAATTTGTTTTACGCTAAACATGGATACATTGCGTGCAAAGTTTGTCGACTCCTTAATTTCGAGAAATGGCCCAGTCAAATGACCGCCAAGATCATGAAATTTAAAGCCTCTAGATTATTTTCTCTGGCGGTATGATAAATTAAAGGTTTACGCCAATGAACCTGCAACTCGTGAGGAGCTCGAAGACAACATTCAGCACACTCTAACCGAAATAGCAACCGAAATGCTGCACCGGGTCATCGAAAACTGGAGTAAATGAGTGGAGATATGCAAACGAAGTCGTGGGCTAACATTTTGTTGAAATTATAAATGGAATAAAAATATCTTCATTACAAAAAAAAACAGACCTTATTTTGACCAAATTTTAGTGTTTTATTTCATTTTAACATCACGTCGTTTTTGCTGGTAGACCCTGTATATTTTAGTATACGCTTGCGGAACTGCAACTATACTCGCGATATTACAAGTATAGTTACGCATAGGCCTGTTAATATCTCTTATGTTCTTTAGAAATTGAGTCCAAACATGCAATTTGTTCTTTGTCTGCAGTCAATGAAGAATTCGTTAATCATAAAATTAAAGGAGAGTATGTGCATATGCAAAATTGTATAAGAGTTGTCTTTTATTATCTCTACGAATTCTTTAAATAGTCAAAACATTTGATTCAAACACTTATTACACTTAAAGATATGCCAATAAATATATATGTACATGCTTCAATTAAAGTACTCTGTAAAGTTACACCAAACTTAATTCGATAAGATTTTAATATCTATGCCCATGATGCGAAATATGAAATTTTAGTAATGGGAATGTTAAATATATAAACGAGAATATAATTAAATTAAATATTTTTGGTGATGTATGTGTGTATGAAATCATAAATGCATGTATAAACCCCAGTAGTCAGATTTCGACGTTAATGTTAAGTGCAGAATAGACGAAAAAGTAAATCGTCATAGGACCTGAATACATGTTTCTTGCTTAAAATTAATTTGTTTATAATATCAAATTATTTGATGTTATATTTTTGCTTGATAATAGTAGTTAAATCAGAAAATGCATGCTCATATGACCACAATGATCACGCCAATCACCAATAAAAGAAATTCTGATATACTATTAGGGAATAGATTAAAAAATTTAAGGTGTAATCTCATATGATACGCTTAGTTGAGGTATACTCGTCCGTCTATTGGTTTCAAATTTTAGGAATATGTCTTCAAGTGTTGTCTCGTTCAACGAATAATCCGCCACAAGGTCTCTCCTTCCACTTGTAAAGGATTCCGTTTTTTTAAAAATATCGGACCATTTAAGATCATCAACGTTATTAATAAAATACGTAACAATCCCCGCGTGATTCTCTCGCAACTGACTTTCAGAAAATATTTTGCACAACTCGGTTGTTATATCTTTAACCACATAAGTTTCCTCAGATTTTAATTTCACTTTCATTGTAAATCCACTACCGAATCGTTTTTTTAAGTCTGGTACATGTCCTGAACATTTAAAGTTTCCACCAGCCATTATCGCTAGTCTATTGCACAGCTGTTCGCATTCATCCATGCTGGAAAATTAAATAAAAATATTTTTATTAATATAATTCAATTTTTTCTTGGATGGTTTATGGTAATAGAGTTAAAAGCTTCAATTCCTAAAATTCAGAATAATTTTGTGAAATTTTAAACAACAACTGTTGTTGATGTGTTGAATATAACAAAAGAAAATATATTTATTTTATTTCTTAATATTTTCTACAAACACTTCAAGAGTTTTCAATTCCCACGAGAGCCGGTTCTACGGATCGAAATTGATCCTTTTTTTACCCGGCAAAGCACTGTCCTATCGGCTATCTAAAACACTGTTTGGATCGATACATAAGTAGAAAGAAGTTTTCACATACAGATGTAATAAAATTATATTATTGTAAATAGTGACTTTCGTCCAACGTTAGTTGTGAAGCAGTTTTCAATTCCTTCAATTCAGGCAAAGGATTGTCTCTTCGGTGATCTAGTTCGGTTAAAAACGGTAAGTAAGTAAGGCAATAATAATATATATTTTGAGCTTATCTCATATTTTGCGGATGTATACGGTATAAAGCAGGAGGAAAATCAAAAAAGACTTTATTATGTATATTAGGGCTGAAGGAGGTCTGGACAAACTTCATTTACTTTGGTAACAAACTAAAATAAGTTACAGAAAATATAAATATTGTGAAAGTATTGTTTAACTTCTGTTGAGCTATCTTGAATTGGGTATGCCACGCTTCTATAATTTTTAACCATTAATAAAATTAAATAACAACAAATTTAGCTATTATCAATTTACCATAACGCAAACTGTGGAAAATGCTCAAAATTATATTGTGATTTTCTCTCTTCAGTCTAGTTTAGTTATAGTCGTTATATTGTCGTGGTAACTCGGCCAGTTTGATCTTAATTTAAAAGTTTAAACATGTTTTTCTCGAAACTCCTTTTTCAATACGGCCGACACGATATCTCAAATTCTAATCAGTCGATTTTCAAATTTAGCATGACTATTCCTTAAATATCTCTGTATCGTATAAGACTCAAAAACTTTCTCTAAACTCTAATAGAAAAGACTAGGACATGTTCATAAATAAATAATAGTTTTAACGACTTTATTTACCTGTGTGAGGTTAGAACAACAGTATTGCCACGACTTTGATAATCTTTTATGCATTTCCACAAAAATCTTCGAGACTCTGGATCCACCCCTGTTGTCGGTTCATCTAACAAAACAAGCGAAGGGCTGCCGATCTAAAACGTATTGGGAACAAAAATCAATAAAATAACTTAAAAAATTGTTTTTATTTACCATGGCTATAGCTGCATTTAATTTACGCTTTGTTCCACCCGAATAACGAAAAACTTTAACGTCTTTATATTTTTGAAGATCTAATTTCTCTAGCCAATATAAAACTTCATAATTTGCTTTGGCGGAATCTGAAATACCCCGCAATTTTGCAATATAGAATAATGTTTGATATGCAGTCATAAATTCATTTAGACAATCGGTTTGTGGACAATAACCAAAACGGCATCGATATTCAGACTCATTTTCCATAACATCAATACCATCAATTTTAATTGTGCCACCAGTAATAGTTAAAGTTGCAGCAATCATTTGGAAAGTAGAGGTTTTTCCTGCACCGTTGACACCAAGTAAACCAAAGCATTCCTGCTTTTTTACAATAAAATTTAGACCACGTACAGCGACTTTGTGGTTGTAGAACTTATATAAATCACAAACCAGCAGTGGATATTTTTTTTCATTTTTCTCTGGAAAGAAAAACAAATTGTCCTTATTATATTATGTAAATTCAGATTTATACCTAATATACATAATATACTCGTAATATAAATATTTAACATCACACATATACAATATTTACCATTCATAATGTCAGTAACTGCCGCTTTTTCATTCGTCATCAATTCCTCTTCAATATCAACATTTTCGGCGTTATTCACAGTAACCTGCCGACACTTATAGCAATTGAAAACGCGTTTAATTTGCTCACATTTATATTTGTTCTCTAAAACACTTACAAATATCACCTATAATTTAAAAATTTTCATATACAAAATAAGAAAGCATATATTCTATGTACTTACCATTACGATAACTGCAATCACAATAGCTTCAAGAAAGAAATTATTGACACTCAATACTTTCGGTAATCCTGTTGTAGGTATAAGCTCATTTCGCCGAGTAAGTAAAAATCTTTCATTGATAATGCGCAACTGATGATTTAAATTAAAGTCCGGCAATTGCAGCAGTGTAAATATTTTCCCTTCATGATACTCCATTGCACGTATGTTGCCAGATGTTATTAAAGGTGCAATTGCTTTTAAATAGTTCATTAATTTTTATATATCACAATAATTGCGCTTAGTTTACCTGATACAATGAGCATAAAAAGCATATAAGTTGAAATTGTCGATATCGAACGAAAAGCGTTTGCTAAACTATATATAATTGGAAGGTAACTGCAGCCATAGAAAAAAATGGACGCAATGATAAGAAGTTGTTCGGATAAATTATACAATTCACTCGGCATCAGTACATATTGCAGGAGGCACAAAAGTATACAAATGACGAAATGCTGCGCAGCATCAAAAACAAATGTTGCAAGCCAAAAAATCGATCGCGGTATGGCTTGTAAGTGCTTGAATTCACTTGCATGCTCGTGAAAAGGCAATGCAATATAAAAAAATATACTGAAGAACAATCCTTAAAATTGGAAAGTATATAGTAATTTTCAATTAAATTCTACTGTTTATTTCCGAAGGCTACTTACCAATAGGCATTATTACTGCAAAGTATTCCAATCGGGTTGGGCTAACATCACTAATGAATCTAATAAAGGCAAGAACTAGTTAGTTTACTCACATGGTAATTTTTGGGATTTTCGATTATTTACCTTCTAATGGGAACATATGTGGTCTCAATTCCGCTAGATTCGCCCATTTTCCATCGAGCAATGGTATCGTCAACCAAATTCAGTAAAATTACCGAACTGTGGTATATGTTGCCAGAGAAATAAATATTGAATTTAATATTGCCATTTCCTTCTGTGGTTAAATCAATAACACCGATATAGTTTTCCAAAAAATATGCCAAATTTTGATATTGGAGGTTTAGCAAAACTAAAAAAAATTGCAACATTCAGAAAGATATTTATACATCAGCATAAAACTAACACTTACAATCTGTAATGTTCTCCCCTTTCCTATTTTCAAGACCTTCGACTCGTATGTTATCATATTTCTGAATTTCTGTTTTTAATATATTTAAAATTTCAGTATTGGAACCATCGACGAGTATAATACCGCGCTGTATATAATTCAGATTTAAAATCAACTTGTCTTCATTAGTGACTAGCGACATGGAATGCATTAATACCAGTGCAATTGCAAGACTTAGCATCGGAAGTAAAACCTATATGTTTTATTTATATTATTAAAATTCTATTTTATATTGTATTTAAAATTATATACTAATATGTAATTATTTTCATTTCAAAATTCTTTGGATAATCTTCTCAAATGGATTATACAGTTATGTAAAAAATAATAAGGACAGTGGCCTACAATTAACGAAGTTAATGTGCATTCAGAAATGTGAGGAAATCAAAAGCAATTAAATAAGCAAATTTGTTGGGAACAAATTGAAAATATTTTTTTTTAAGTTTCCCCAATTTTTGGTAGTCTTTTTATTCGATTTTTTTTTATAATAATGTAATTTTAACATGTAAAAATAATGGCCCTTCTTTTACTAAAAAATTACAATGTTTCAATTAAGTAACTATTAATTACTAATTAGTTTAATTTTTTTTTTCTTTAGGGGATGATGACCTTCACGCCTCCGAATTGGTGCATTCTGGGTAAACGGTAAATGACCTGCTGCCTTCACGGCTTATCAACTCCTGAACTAGACCTTAGCTTTTTAATTGGATTATGAGTAGGATCAGCTCTTTATGATTTTGGTAGGTGCTGCTGGTTGCGACATTCTGCCACCTAGGTATGATGAAGTGACACCCATCAGAAATGCCTGATGGGCTAATGTTGCAACAGCCCCCGTCCCGTTAAAACCCTGGCAAGTCTCAGAAATCGTTAAAACAAACGATGAAGAAAAGGTGACGTTGGGAAGTGAGGAGGTCGAAACCCACCCCCAGATCTGTCCCGGGTGGGAGTGTGACGAAACCGTCGCCAACTAAAAGCGGCGAAAGGATCCTACCCCAGTCTCGTAGGAAGTTCGGGGCTGGGCACTTCTATAAACAATAAATCGGAATAAACCGGTGGAAATCTGCCGGCAAGCACCATGGGTAGAGCCTTTATACGCGGCGAAACTGCTAGCACTAGCCTCTGCTAGACTCATGAGAGGCTCTACAGGTATCTAAGCAGTATGCTAACACATTCGAGTGAGCCAGGAGGGTGCTGAGTGAAGGGCCCAAAGTGTGAGAGTGCCGGATGGCACCATGGGCTTCACAAGCTCATCAAATGTGCCGATGAACGATCAGCGGTCCTCTATAAGGAGGCAGTCTCTCAGCTGAGGGAGGTATGGAAGGGAGCCAGATTAGAGGCTGTGGACAAAGCGGACCTTCCACTATGCCCTAGGGCTCGCGTTTGATTACTGGCAGAACCTTTCTCCGCAAATGAAATTGAGGAAATATTAAAATATTGCAACCCGTCACTACTCACGCATGACTGGAGGGTAATAAGACTAAAGCGAACCGACTAAATTTATCGGCAAGCACTGATTCTGATATATCAGTGCTTGGTCAAACGACTAACTATGGAAAATAACCCGGTCATATCGGACATAGCGAGTTCTGGGGGCGATTTCGCCCTCAGTCTTAAACGGCTATTTGGGAAGGTGCGGGTCGAACACGAGGCGGGCGCTGTACTATCTCTTCTGAAGCGGAGTCTGAAGGATTAGATTCCGTCAGATTAACCTACAAAGGCGGCCTCCGCCTATTTACTGCTTCGTCTGGAACAAGACGGAGCCGATATCGTCCTGATCCAGGAACCGCGGCTGAGTAATAACACCATCTCTGGCTTGCGGTCGAAGAGTCATAAGCTGCTAGCGCCCATGGAAGCATGTAGCACTAGAGCCTGTATGTTAGTCCGAAATGAATTAACGTTAATTCTTTTATATAATTTTAGCAACGCTTATGTAGTGGCTGCAAAAATATAATGCGACGCCGGAGAATTCTGGCTAATCTCAGCATATATGCCACATGATGATGAGGTGGAACCAACTCCCTTATTGCTAAGGTAAACCTTAGCTGAGGCGTCACGAAGATTAACCAGAGTAATCATTGGTTCCGACGTCAATTCACAGCATCTGGGGCAGTTTGGAGATTAATAATAGAGGTGAGTCGCTCTTTAATTACATTAAAGCGAAAACTTGTGTATTTGTAATAGAGGAAATTCTCCTACTTTTTTGACTGCGGGCAGAGAAGAGGTTTTCGACTTCACCCTGACCTCGAACGCAATTGCACGCGTGTATAGCTGTACTGGAGAGCTCCTGTTCACTGAAAACACCTAAGGTCAAAACCCCTCTGGTGGACCACATTATTCAACAAGGCCCGCTAGAGTGCCTTAACTGACGATTGGGCGTTATATTAAACGGGACTCTCAACATACAAGTCCGAGATAAGAAAGGCCAAGAGGATTTCATGGAAAAGCTTCTGCGAAAATGTAGAGGGTTGTCATGAGTCCTTTAGGATGTAAATGGAAAGTAAGCCTTGAGCAGTGAAGATACACTTAGGATGCTACATGATGCTCACTTTCTGTGCAATACATCCCCTGGAGAGGTACCTCTCGGTGTGCTTCAAGAGGATTGTGCGGCCTTTGCCGACCTTCTGGATGAACGGCTCACTGTGACGATTAACTCGTTCAAACTGTTAAGGTGTCATGCAACTGGCTGGCATCCATTTATGCGAATTGCATAAGACTGGGATATATTCCGGGGGCTTGAAAGCGAGTCAGAGTTACGTTCATCCCGAAGGCTAGTAAAAGCTCCCACGTCACGGCCAAGGACTTTGGACCTATCATTCTCTCCTCTTTTTTACTGAAAACTTATGAAAGGCTAATAGACTGGCACGCAACACGCTTATTGTAAAGGTAAGTCAGTGAATACAGCCTTGCATTTATTGAGGTGATATGGTGGTGTAAATGCTAAGAATCATGATCAGGTTTTGATCAGGGTTGCAAATAATGTATTAAACAATAATTGAATTAAATTGAAATTAATTTTTTTTGGTTTTATAATCCCGAAAATCTTAATTAAAAATCGGAACATTTTATTTTTACCCCAAACAGTTTTTTAATTAAAAAATTCACAACCCTAATCATGATTTAGTAGTGCATATTTAACAATAAAAGTTGTGTTTCCTTATAATAGCAATAGCCTTACTAACTATCCATTAAATAAGACTCTTTTTTTACAAAGAAGAAAAAACTTAGAATTATTTTGAATCAGGTGTGTCGGTTTATATTTTGAAATTTGTCACTTTCATTAACCGCCTAAACTCTTCTTGCAACTTTATACCTATAGTCTGACACCATCAAAACATCCCGTTAGTTGGTGTACAGAGACAGGGTTTGCATAAACATTACAACAATTCAATCGTTTGTATTTAATACTTTTTAAATCGAAAATTTTTGTAAAACTACTCTTAATAAAGAATAAAAGTGCTGTGAGACCAATAAGGATACGATTATTTAAAATTGTTGACCTGTATTAACATATTTTATAAAAGAAAAACAAATTGCATGTTCTAGATAACTTACCATTAGCAAAGTGTTACCCCATTGATTTTTAACAAATATAAATTTTTTATAAAAAACGGCTTTTGATTGCTCTTTCCAACTTATTTGAAATTTCGGTGTCTCAAACGGTGTGTACGTAGGGCATTCTTTATCCGATCCTATACCATCCACAACGTCAATTTCAGATAAACAACTATTTAGAACAATTAATTGTATCTAACAATTTAAAAAGTTTTACAAAATCAGATACATACTTTAGAAAAACATCCTCCAGCGAAGCATCGGAGATAGAAATTGAGTTAATACCCAACTCCCTCTGCCTACGCTCTAATTGTTGTAGTACTTTGCTGTATTCACTCTGGTTTTCATATGGCAAGCTAATGTGCAGCGCAGGCGGCACTACGGTCTGAATTTATCAAAAGAATCATAAAAGAAATAAATTCAGTTAACACCTTGAATATATTTCGAATATAATACCAAAATTTTTGAGGCAGGCATATTTTGCTGAATTATTTGTAGAATCTCATCCTTAATTTGATCTCTACTTATGCATAATTTTAGTACGTATCCTTGACCAATTTTCCGTTTCAGTTCTAAAGGTGACCCAGAGCAGTGAACACGACCATTAGCTAATATGGCGATTGTGTCACCCAACACTTCTGCTTCTTCCATGTGATGCGTAGTTATCAAAACGGCTTTTAGTTTCCTTAATTTAAGCAATATGTCCCATAACTCACGACGTGATTCAACATCTAATCCAGAAGACGGCTCATCTAAAATTACGACTCTGAAGGATACAAGAGAAATAAATGGTTTGATATACTGCAAATTTAAATTTTGAAACTTTTCATGACATATATTTCATCGAACCGTTTTATATTTATCCAAACATTTAAATTTTTAAATTCAGAAGTAAACAAATTCCAAAACGAAATTCAATATTTTTTTTTTAAATAAAAAAATAAAATGATGCTGCTTGTGCAAAACAACTCATTGAAGCCTATTTGTAAAAGAATATGTGGGCTACATTTTTAGGCGAAGGAAATAAAAGAATCTCCCCTTTAAAGACGACTAAGCCCAGATGCAGTACCTTCATTAAAATTACTTCACACTCTTGAAGAAAACAAGTAAAACCCTCACCTTCTGATTTATAGAAATTTAAAATTTTTATCATTAATTAGATCTCAAGCCAAACTTGTTGGCGCTAAAATTATAACAGGTGATCGGAAGCTATATATGCTAGCTGGAGTTTTTGTGATGAAGTGTTTCTGTTGTGGAATTGGTCTAAATTTCTCGTGCAAGAACCACGCCTTCTTATACTATTCTTGTCAACGCAGCTGTTCAAACCGAGTGTACCGAACAAATTTCAATTAAAAGAAATCAGTTTCCAGTTGTTCCGGCTGAGGGAATAACTATTCATAAAAGTCAGGGTTCCACATATTATAAAGTTGTAGTTCATACTCGACCCAGAATGCCTAGAGCTTCAATATATTATATAATATAATATGTCGCTTGCAGACGAGCTACTACTGCAGAAGGTCTATTCATCATAGAAAATTTTATTCCTCCTAACAAATTTTCTGAATCGGATCCTGTATTTAGGGAACTGAGGGAATTGAACACAAATAAATCTCTGACATGTTTAAATTTTATGACTTCCCGAACATCAGGACGTCAAATTTTATTCCATAATGTTCAGAGTCTTCATGCTCACATTAATGATATAAAAAGTGACTTTTTGATGCTATCTTCAGATATTTTATGTTTTGTAGAAATTTTTAGTTATCCTTGCGAAAATTTTGATATACCAGGATTTACTCCAATTAACGAGCTGAGGATAGATAGCACGGAAACAAGCAACAGAAATAAACGGGGCATTATAATATATGCAAAGCATAGTATTGCTAGCTCTATAGAACCAAAGGCTGTAAAGAAAATTTATTCAGGCCGCAAAATTTTAAAAGTGGTTTTGTTTAAGTGTTTCAATATTAATATTCTGGTTCTATAGAGAAATTCAGCTTACTCTGTCAGAGATTTAAAGAACTTCAGGAAGTCGTTTCTTCTAAGTTATGCAATCAAAATGTGTTAATTGTTGGAGATTTTAACATTTGTTTAATGTCTGCAGGGACTACAATAGGAAATCTGCTCTGAGAAAAAAACTTTAGTTCCCTGCTTGGTGTAGAATATTCAACAACACCTACCGGTACACAAATAGATTGGGCATTTTCAAACATGGATCCCTCCCATGTTATTGCAACTATTGTACTTTTGAGACAGTACACAGCTATCATGACAGTATTAGTGTCTCTATTTCGAACTAAAGTTTTCAGACTTAGTGCAATAGTTCTTCATTTTATTTTCCAAATATAATCGAATTAGAATGGTATAGCAATTTTGACAGTAGTTTTTAAGACAATTTTAAGAAAAATATGTAAATAATCTAATTAAGAAAATTTATATTATATGTATAATTTGTTAATTTATTGGTAAAGTAAAAAGTTCGTTCGGTTTTTATCTAAGAGATGGCGTTATTGTCCATAGTATTAGTGTTACGTGTCGCATCATGTCATACTATACGGCGCTGAAAACTTCTTTATTCGCGCTAAAAGTTTTTCGGTTGATTGACTCAGTACGTTGTGAGCGCTCGTCAAAGATGGACACCAGCAAAGAGAAAATTCGCTATATTTTACAATTTTTCTTCGATCAAGGCGAAAAAGCAGCCAAAGCGACTGAAAAAATTATTTTAGTTTATGGGCCCGATACTGTAAACGAACGTGTAGCACAAAAGTGGTTTGCTAGGTTCCGTTCCGGTAATTTCGAAGTCAAAGATGCATCACGCGTCGGGAGGCCTGTCGTCGAAAATTGCGATAAAATCATGAAAATAGTAGAAACAGACCGTCACGTGAGCACTTATTTAATTGTTGAGGAACTAAAGATAAGCCAGAAAACCGTTTGAAACCATTTGCATAACCTTGGATTCAAAAAGAAGCGCGATGTTTGGGTGCCACACGAACTAACGCAAAAAAACATGATGGACCGAATTTCCATCTGCGAATCGCTGCTGAATCGCAACAAAATCGACCCGTTTCTGAAGCGGATTATGACTGGCGATGAAAAATGGGTCACTTACGACAACATCGAGCGCAAACGGTCGTGGTCAAAGCTCGGGGAGGCCCAGACGGTGACCAAGACCGGATTGACGGCCAGGAAGGTTTTGCTGTGTGTTTGATGGGATTGGCAAGGAATCATCTACTACGAGCTGCTCCTCTATGGCCAAACGCTCAATTCGGCCCTCTACTGCCAACAACTGGACCGCTTGAAGGCAGCACTCATCCAGAAGAGGACATCTTTGATCAACAGAGGCCGAATTGTGTTCCATCAGGACAACGCCAGGTCACACACGTCTTTGGTGACGCGCCAAAAGCTCCGGGAGCTCGGATGGGAGGTCCTAATGCACCCACCTTATAGTCCGGACCTGGCACCAAGTGATTACTATCTTTTCCTGTCCATGGCGAACGCGCTTAATGGTTAGAAGTTAGCCTCAAGAGAGGCCTGTGAAAATTGGCTCTCCGAGTTTTTTGCCAATAGGGACGCAGCCTTCTACGAGAGGGGTATAATGAAGTTGGCATCTCGTTGGCAACAAGTTTATGAACAAAACGGCACATATTTGACTTAAATCGGACAAATGCACACAAAGTTATCATCTTTTGAAAAATCAATAAAAACCGAACGAACTTTTTACTTTATCTAATATATGACATTATTGTATAAATATATGATAGAAATTAAATAGTATAAGGAGAAAATAAATATAATTTGGATATATGTATAAGAATCTCTTTAAAAATTTATGTTTAATATTGTAAATATTATATACAAATTAATATAATTTTTAAAGTTGTTAATATTTATTATTTTTAAGCTAAACATGTATAATAATATCGATATAATAAATAAAAAATGTTATTCATTGTCCAAAAACGATTTCTTTTCATACTTCTCAATACAGTTGTAATGCATTCTATATAAAATCAATTATAAGCGTATACAAAAAACACAAGAACGATTTCTCATAATTTGAGTAAATTTAGTTTACAAATTGCTCTAATTATTTTCACTGTGAATGTAAATAACTAAGGCAACAGTTCCTACTTCTAATTATTAAAATATATAAAGAAATCTCAAACGAGTATACCATTTAACTTATTTAACTTTGCGAGACTATGAAATGTTCGGTTACATCCGAACTTAGCCCTTCCTTACTTGTTTTTTTTTTTTAGTTGGCATGACATCTGTCAAACATATTCAATAACCTTACAGTCATTAAACAAACATCATATTTTTCATTGAGTTGTGAATAATTAGGGTGCCAACTACATTCCCCTATTGAAGTTTCACAAAGAAAAATGACAGCGCTTTAGACGTATACACTTTATTTGATTTAATTTTTTTATACTCTCGCAACCTGTTGCTACAGAGTATAATAGTTTTGTTCACCTAACGGTTGTTTGTATCACCTAAAACTAATCGAGTTAGATATAGGGTTATATATATATAAATGATCAGGATGAAGAGACGAGTTGAAATCCGGGTGACTGTCTGTCCGTCCGTCCGTCTGTCCGTCCGTCCGTGCAAGCTCTAACTTGAGTAAAAATTGAGATATCTTTATGAAACTTGGTAGACATGTTTCATGGTACCGTGAGACGGTTGGTATTGCAGATGGGCGTAATCGGACCACTGCCACGCCCACAAAACGCCATTAATCAAAAACAAATAACTTGCCATAACTAAGCTCCGCAATAAGATACAAGACTCTTATTTGGTACACAGGATCACATTAGGGAGGGGCATCTGCAGTTAAAATTTTTTTTTTTAAAGTGGGCGTGGTCCCGCCTCTAATAGGTTTAATGTGTATATCTCCCAAACCGCTTATGCTATAATAACAAAATTCACTAGAAGCAAATGTTTTTAGCACTTCTATTGACATTGTGAAAATAGTTGAAATCGGGTGGCAACTCCGTCCACTCCCCATATAACGGTACTGTTAAAAACTACTAAAAGCGCGATAAATCAAGCACTAAACACGCCAGAGACATTAAATTTTATCTCTGAGATGGTATAAGATGACTTTATAGGAACCGCGTTCAAAATAAGACAGTGGGCGTGGCACAGCCCACTTTTAGGTGAAAACCCATATCTTGAGATCTGCTCAACCGATTTCAACCAAATTCAGTGCATAACGTTCTTCTTATGTTTCTATGTCATAGTGCGAAAATGGGCGAAATCGGACTACAACCACGCTTACTTCCCATGTAACACCATTTTCAATTCCATCTGATTCTTTCACTTTCCACTATGCAAATCAGGTAACAATGATTATATTATAATGCAATTAAAGTATGCCACCTTGCGGCCAAAAATTGTCTAAATCGAACCAAAACTGTTCAAGCCTCTAAGTACTAAATATGTGGGCCCCAGTGCCTATAGTTGACCTTCTACCGAAAATATCAGTCAATCCACAAAGATATCTCAAACGAGTATACCATTTGACTTTGCGAGAGTACAAAATGTTCGGTTACATCCGAACTTAGCCCTTCCTTACTTGTTTTAAATTAATTTTACACAAGTAGATGTATCGAGTAAGTGTATAATTGTTCAAAGTAGCGCATCGGTGTCGTATTAAATTGACCGGACGCGGGATTGTTGTCATGACGTTTATATCCAAAAATGAAGTTGATGAAGGGAAGGTTACTCTTACGGTGGAACGATGTCTATCGGAATCGTTGA